GCCGAGGCGCACGGCCATGGAGTCCCCTACGTCCGCGGCGAGGCAGAGCAGGTAGGGCCCTCTGAATAACACGCGGAGGTGGATGGCGCCGGCGCCGGCGCCGGCGCCGCCGGGAGCGGGGACCACGGATTCCAGATGCACGGCGGAGAGGGGGGGCGAGGACGAGGAAGGGGGCGGCGAGGGAGCGTGAGAAGGACGGCGGCACGTGCGGCTGCGGGGACTTCGCCGCGGGCGGCGGGACGGGCAGCGGTGGGACGGTTGCTAGGGGAGGACGGGCCTCTGCCTCGTCTGGGTTCGGGACGGGTGGTGGCTGGGGTCGGGAGGAGCGACGGTGGTCGGGGTCGGGAGGGGCGACAGCGGTTGGGATCGGGATGGGCCTGGGAAGCAGGGAGAGGAATCTGGGAGGCTTTTTCGCATTAAGCCTAAACTGTTTTGCCACGTAAGCATAAAACGGGACCCACCTGTCATAAACTCACTTAATGCGGCCCGTTCCGCCGATCAGTGGTTTTTGCAAAAGAATTACCCAAGACGTGGTGCTTTCTGCAGCGAATCTGTATCCTAGTGTTTTTTCGTAAAACTAGCCCTCAAAGTGGTGGTTTTATGCAATTTACTCAATCAGATGATCTCTGGAATCAATCGTCCATGGCGCTCCGTACCTCGTCCAGATGATCGTCGTGCGTCACTGCTTGGACCATAAATAAATGGAGACTCGGACGGACGCTTGGACCATGCCCCCATACCTAGCTCCATGGTACGTTGTCCTGTACTAAAATGTACTCTTACGTGACGACTTCTTGCTCCATCCGCCCTACATGTCAGCGAGAAACTTCAAGGTAGTGAGAAACTCTTACGTGACAGGTGCTCCCATTTCTCAGCATTAGAAGGTTCGGCCTGCAAGTTTTAAGTACACCGGCCTCTTACAACGGGAAAATCAAAGTAAGCATACATGCGATACGAATAGTGATGCTCGGTCTAAAAAAATTTGGGACACCTAAGAAGCAACCAAGAAAAAGAACATACTATATGCATTCTCAGATGTGATCCAACCAATAGATGTATGTTGCAAAAGTGCTCCTTGGGCCGAGGATCAAATTAACTGACACGGCCTTTACAATAGGGGTCGAGTGGGTGGTCGTCTGCAAAAAAGTAGGAGTCACTTTCTTATAGAAAAGGGATGACGATGATGCTTGCTCACGGAGAAGTGATGACAATGGGGCCAGTGTCTTAGTTCAATGAGGCTTTCTTCGCAGTGGCCTACTTGAGGTATATTGTGTGTGTCACTCAGCGATTGTCGCAATTTTCACTCATTTTCCCGTTAATTAACTAGGCCACTCTCTTCTTTTGCATCCGTTTCAGAAAATTAAAAAAACTTACGAGGACCGCTCACTCCACAAAATAGCTTTTGACAGCACTCACCTTGAACGCCTTATACAGGATAGTTAAAAAACAAGGCACTCATTTCAAAGCTTTAAGGTGCACTGGTCCACGATATGTTGGATGAGAACAATATGTTTTTGGTCCCTTAAGTTTACCGTGAGTCTAAGTTTAGTCTGTCAAGATTTTTTGGGCGACATTTAGTCCCTCATATCTTAAAACTGGCATGAATCCTCCGAAACAAGATCAAAGTTATACCAGAGGAAGTCTCATCTGTTTTGGAATTCTCTTTGTCTCTCTCTCTCCCTTCTAATGGCCGCACCCCCAATCCCCCACCATGCTTCATTGTCCCGCCAGTCGTGACACCATAGCTCAACCATGGTCAGGAGAGATGCTCCATCTCCTCGTACTACCGTGACTCCTAGCCACAACCCCCCCAAGCGCCCAACGTGGGTATCGTGTCCCCATGCCATCCCGGTTCCCTGCGCCAGCGTATCCAAGCGTCGTCCTACTGGTTCCGAGTCAGCATCCCCCAACAATGAACATCCCCTTACTTGCTCACCATACGCATGGGGATCGCACACGACGGGTGGTGCTGGCGTGGCGGGCGTGTGGGGCGGGCACTGCTGTGCTGCCATGGGACCTCCCGCTGCACCTGCCACAATAATGCCCTGGATGGTCTTCTCAACACCGCCTTGATGGGATGCCATCTCTGGCGGCCGCCAAGGACATCCCCCCATGCTTACTCATGTGTGAGATAAAGCCTACATCGATGTTGCGAGCACCTCCGTTTCACCTAGGGTCATTAACTGACTTTCATTAAAATGTGAGAGTCAAAGTAAATAAATTCTCCTCACGACTGGCTACGACAACACCAGTGCGGTTTCCATCTTTGTCTAGGATGGGGGCACGCGCGAAGAGACTGGGCGACAACTAGCGGCGAGGTGGTTGGGTTAGGGGGCGGTGGTGAGGCGTGGCACGAGTGGGATGAGCTCAGTGAGGAGGGGTAACTACAAGGTCTAGGCGACGTGCGTCTCTAAGTAGACATTGCTCCAAAATAAATACTGGTCTGATGTGTCAAGAGAGGAAAGTGAGCAGACAGAAACCAACGGCACGTAGCTGGTTTTCCTCTCTTATCTGGTTTTGAGACATGAATGTCTAAATATCACCCCTAGATATTGAGGGACAAGATGTATATTTTTGGTAAACTTGAGGGACCAAAAACATACTTTTCTGTTTTACATACTAGTTATCCCTAATGTTTCTGTCAAGATATTTTTTCAAACGCTATATTAACCAGATATCTCAAACGTAAACCAACAGTCCAAATATCATCCTCACGTCGGGCAACGTAAAAAAAATCCATGTCCATGGATTGTATCCCGGATTTTTTTATAAGAGTCCTCCCACCTGAATATATTGCTCAAAAGCGGCCAAAGGCAAGAATTACCCATAGTATTTGGTTGCTCCAGTTTATAAGAAAAACCTTATCGAAAACCTTAACAAGTTTACACCGCTTTTGAGGAAAACCGGGCCAAAAACCTTATAATTATCAAATTCGAAAAGAAGGAAAGAAGTGGATACCCAT